TCCTATCAAATACCTATCGTCCTCATCTCGCTTCCTTCTCTGTCTGTGGGTGGTTAGCGGGTGCTCTTGTGTGGTTTCTCCTTCTTTCCTATAAAAAAAATATATCTTCTCTATCTCACCCCTTTCTTTTTTTTGTGTCAGTTACTCTCTTGTAACACTTCTTATCTTCGGCATTTATATGACCTTATTGTCTTGCAAGTGCCGTAAAACTCTTACTAAAAATTTTTTTAACTTCTCTGTCTCTCAGTAGAAGGCGTCACTGGTTGGTCTTACATCTTTCCTTTCCCTCTAATGTTTGCATTTTGCTTTTTTTTCCTGCACTAAATGACCGCTACCGTGTCGATCGATGTGCGTCTCTGTACTCAAATAAACTATACAAACGACGTATCTCCCCGTGGCCTTCAGCTACCCCACCCCACCCCTACTTCAACCACCCACCCATATCAACAACCCCTGCCCATTTACCCAACCACCTCTCTCAACTCTCAACCATCCAACCCACACTTCAACCCCCCCCACACACACACACACACAAACACCTGGACCGCCACTCACCTTGAAACAGGAGGCCCGGTACAGCAGCTGTACCACGTGCCCTATGGCTGTCTTGGAGGCCTGTGGGTACTGCTGCTCCAACTTCTGCACCACGAAGAGAACCAGAACTTTGCGGGACAGGAAGGCCCCGCCCTCCAGCGCAAGAAGAATCAGCTTCAGCACCTCTTCCTGCATAGCTGCAATAGTTAGGGAGGGAGCGGGGGGGGGGGTTTCCAGAATAAGAGATGTGTGTGATAATTGCCTCAAAAGGGCACACAGTGAATGAAAAGTTTAATTTAGTTTGAATAAGAGCTTAACAGAACTTGCAACACAATAATGTCATTATAAGTGCTGAAGATTAGAAGTGTTAACGAAAGAGTAACAAACATCCAAATGGAGGAGAGATCAGGATGATAGATGTTTGATAGGCAGCAATAGTAAGGTGGTGGGGGGGGAGGGGTGGGTTTCAGAATAAGAGTTTTTTAGTACAGGGTTTTACGGCACTCGCAACTGCATAAGGTCATATGAGCGCCAATCAGAATAAGAGATGGGCGTGACAAATGCCTCAAAAGGGCATACATTAAGAGTTAAACAGCACTTGCAACACAAGGAAAGAGAAAGAGAGGAAGGCAGAGAAGGAGATGGGAGGACAACATTACAGAGCGGACAGGAAAGACGATGGGTGACAATCTGAGGAAAGCAGAGGACAAAAAATAGATGGCGAGAGCTGGTTTTCAGATGCAGTGGTGCCCCACGGTTGCCCCAACCACGGGATAGAAGAAGAAGAAGAAGAAGAAGCAACACAATAAGGTCATATAAGTGCTTTTAGTTTTAGTAAAGAGTTTTACGGCACTTGCAACACAATAAGGTCATATAAGTGCCGAAGATGATTAGAGGTGTTACAAGAGAGTAACAACAAACGCAAAAAGGAGGAGAGATAAAGACGATAGTTGTTGAACAGGAAAGACGGAGCAAACCACACCAGAGCACCCGCCAACCACCCACTCATATAAGAGCTGAAGATTAGAAGTGTTAACAAAAGAGTAACAAACACCAAAAAGGAGGAGAGATCAGGAGGACAGGTGTTGGATAGGACAGAAGGAGCAAAAACGAGAAGTGTGTGACAATATTCTCAAAATGGCATACATTTAATGCAAAGTACTGGCTGCAAAAGTAGGCAAAATTTTGGTTCGAGTAAGACCAGGAAGGAAAGATTTTTGAAAACATGGAGAGATTAGTTTTAGTTTAGTTTAAGTACTTTTTACAACGCTCGCAACTGTATGACGTACCTAAACCCAGGAACTGTTGAATGAATGAGGCTTACGAGACATCTCGCGACCTCAGTGCTCTCTTGTCCTATTTCCATTTTTAATAACAGTGAAAACAGTTCATAACAAAGATTGAGCTTAAGGCCGGTCCCAGAGTGGCTCTGTAGGTCTGACCTGTAGCTCGCCTGGCTTGCACCGTGCAAATGAATGTATACATTATCGTGTGCTTAAGCAGCATCGCTGTGTCGTCTGTTTTTTGTCAGCAGAGCTGCGCGATGCGTCAGACGTGCTATTCAACAGTGTTGTAAAAATGGCGGACATGTGTCGCCTCGCTTCGTGTTTATTTTCGACTGAAACTCTTCACAGATCATCACAATCAGCAAGAAGTAAGTGTTATTAGGTGCTTTACTATTAAATATATTGATGCTAGCATCAACACTTGGCCACAAAATCATCAAGACATGCACTTTATCATACTCTGAAACTTCGAATCGAGAGGTTGACCTAGTTTCCACTGTTGTCGTAGGCCTAGACCTAGGCCTAGGCCTAGATCTAGGTGTGCTTCTCTAGATTCTAGATCTTGATCTAGATCTAGCCTTGCATTGTAACCAATGTAAACTATCGCCGCGCACAGCTGCAAGTGTTTTTGTGGGTGGGGGGGCCTGCACTTGGCACATGACGTAAAGAAGAGTTGTCCCGTCTTGGTATAATTGGTCTTGGATTAAACAGTACCTAAATATAGCAAGGCAGACCCGTCAGTTGCACACCTACACACGTCAACACACAGTGAGACTGTGAAGAGACGCAGCGAGTGTGCCTCGCGCTCCCTGAGACACAGGCGCCAACCCACAGTGCGGCTGTGTAGACACGCACACAGCGTGCGCCAGGCCAGCTACAGGGCAGACCTACAGAGCCACTCTGGGACCGGCCTAAGAAGAAGTCACATTTTTACTGTAAAGAAAAATGGAGATAGGACAAGAAAGCACTGAGGTCGCGACCTGTGACACGTAATCGACATATCTGAACCCAGGAACTGTTGGACCAGTGAGACTTACGGGACATCAGTGACACATAACGGACGTACCTGGACCCAGGAACTGTTGGACCAATGAGACAACAGTGACACATAACAGACGTACCTGGACCCAGGAACTGTTGGACCAACGAGACTGACGGGACATCAGTGACACATAACGGACGTACCTGGACCCAGGAACTGTTGGACCAATGAGACTTACGGGACATCAGTGACACATAACGGACGTACCTGGACCCAGGAACTGTTGGACCAATGAGACTTACGGGACATCAGTGACACATAACGGACGTACCTGGACCCAGGAACTGGCAACCCCTGGTCCTGACGGCCGCCCACAGACTCGCCGACAGCTGGTGTGGGTACTGATGCAGGGTCAGCAGTTCCAGGACGATGCGTTCCCCGAGGGAGCGAGCGATTCTGGCCGACCTTGATCTTCCCTCCTCCTCCAGCAGCTGACAGTGGATGAGACTGATCAGCTTGCGCTGCATGGGCCGACTCAGCACGCACTTGGTGGCCACCGTACAGCCCACGGCGCTGTTGTTGCTGTTGTTTTTGCTGGAGCTGCGAGAGGAGCTGTGGTCACTGCACGTGGAGCCGTCGTCGTCCGACGCGTCTGTGGACAGATAAATCACCACCAATAAATATCAACACGACCACGAAATTGTTTTTTAGTTTTAGCAAGTGTTATACGGAACTTGCAACACAATAAAGTCATATAAGTGCCGAAGATTAGAAGTGTTACAAGAGAGTAACAAACACAAAAAAGAAGGAGGAGAGATAAGGACGACACATGTTTTGATAGGAAAGAAGGAGCAAACCACACCAGAGCACGCGCCAACCACCCACCCCATGAAATTGGGAGAATGAAGAGAAATACAATGACAGCTGTTAAGCACAGTGAAAAAAGTCAGAAGGAAACTCCTTGTGACCTTCTGACCTTGCCTGTCAGGGCCCAGCCGGGCTGAGAGGATACAACCTCCCAGCAGACAGACCCGGGGATACAACATCCCAGCAGACAGACCCGGGCTGAGAGGGATACAACACCCCAGCAGACAGACCCGGGCTGAGAGGGATACAACATCCTAGCCAGCAGACAGACTGAGGTACTCGAGAAAAATTCTCCCCACTCGGGAATTGAACTCTGGTCTCCTGCATGCAGCAGCGAAGTGCCAAACTGCTACACCGCTGAGACTGGTCACAAACGACAGATTGAAAGAAAAGAAGTGGAGTAGACCTACCACAGGCATCATCCAACCACCCAACAATAGGATGAAGAAGAAAAGTGTCCAGTGTTATTTTTTGTAGAGTCAAGGAACAAATTACAGGAGGTGAACTGATTAACTTTCTTGCTCCATTTTGTGAACTCATCCTTTAAAAAAATGGACAGTCTCATAATTGTAAAGGCCCAGCGAAATGAACACAGCTCTCATAATTGTAAAGACCCAGCGAAATGAACACAGCTCTCATAATTGTAAAGACCCAGCGAAATGAACACAGCTCTCATAATTGTAAAGACCCAGCGAAA